AATAAATCACTAGGCAGTGGGTGTCCGTGCATTTTTTGCGACGTGTGTCCGCAATCTGCTCAAGGACGACTATGAACTCTCTGCACATGGATCAGCGCAAGTTCGAAGGAAAAGCTTGTGTTTTATATGTAATACTACCATATGTAGCCCACAAATAATTGTACACATCTGCACCCAATTTTATTGACGTTTTCATGGGCATTCGTTATCGTCCAGCCTCAATTTAAGCCAAACTTGGCGGAATACGTTAGCACCGATGCCGTGATCCCACAACATAACATGCTGCTTCTGAGCCGCAATCGCCTGATTAGTGGACGTCACTCGCTTAGTTGCCTCTGCGCTGATCTACACCTCGACGACGTTAAAGACTTTGATCTCCGGAAGGATAAATTTCCTTTTGCTGTCATTCCTTATCTTGTATTGCAATAAGTAATGGCACAAGTTTAGCTTTATTGGCATAGGTAGTTCTCAAAACGCTTCTGTTAGTTAGATTTAGGAACGTTCTTCTCCTTTTTAACAGGCTAGTATTAAGGTATAAATAGCGAAAATAATGCATTCCATGTAATTCACTTAATTTCTAAAAAATTAACACTCGGAATTGCACGGTCTTAGGAAACACTGTCCGGCTCGCTTCCGTGGCCTATCCAATTGAGAACGACAGGGTTATTTAGACACCACAAAGCCAATGCTTCCTACTTGCCATTGCTAACAAGACGAAAAATAAACAGGGTCATATGTGACTATACTGCAACCCCAAACGACTTCAAAGACAGGTAAACTAATTTTTAAGAGTCAGGTGCGTGAGCCCCGCTCCATACGCAGTAATTTGACTGATGCCGTTAAAAAAAATCCACATTACCTTCCAAATTACCAAGTCATATTATAGTACTTTTACACCGATAGGTTTAGCGCCCTTTCTAACCAAAGTATAAACTGTACCTTTACAGATATTTCGTAATGAACAACTATGTTGTCTGGCAACCGTTTTTCCCTGCAAACGAAATTCGCTCAAATGCGTTGCAAGTGGATGATAAACGTTTAGGTAAACAGTTCATTTGTTGCTCTAAACGAGCTCTTTAAAGCCGCCTGTTCTCACATTGGCAAGGTATAAAATCATGACACTATTTTGTCTACATAGATGCCGTACAGAGACAACGAATTATTGACCGATGACGTTACTCCGGGTGTTCTTCCTTGTCATGTAATCTACTGAGGCCAAGGTATTAACTGTGCAGCTGGAGAGTAACAGATGTCTGCTCCAGTGCAATACTTATTTTGACAGAAAGGGTATTGGACAACGGACCTGCAGTAAATCCTTACGTATTAAACAAAAAGCACTTGGCTTGCGTAGCAGCAAATGCCGTCTAACTTAATTAGGACAAGGTATTTAACCAGTTAAATAATCGCATCCTTCATCAAAAACTAGTAGATGTAACTAATATCCCGGGTGAACAAACACACGTTGTTTATCGAAAACTACTCATGTTGCCGGTAGCATCTTACCTGCCCCAACTGAGCTTAAGCGTGACGGAAACCTAAACGTTTTATGCAGACACCGACAATCATTTTCATCATACACCATTTATCGATGGAAGCGTTTTCGTTGATGACCGAAGACAAGGTATTTTATCGCTAAATTGGATGCTCATAGAGCAGTGCAATGCAGCAAATACAAAGACCATATCTTGTCACACAAATAAACATCTTCATGCTCCAAACGTGGTTGGTTTACGGGATTTTAAGACACGCCATTGCTAACACACTTTGCATGTGGTTATGCAAAGGTATGTATTAGGCTTTGCTACTTGGTGCCTTTCCTGCAAATTCCAACTCGTCTCGTGGCCCTGATGATGCCCCTTCAACTACCGTTGAAACTAAGGCAAAAACCTTTAGTTGGTCAACCAAATTTTGATTATGTTCTCAAGTTAAAGACAAAGCTAAAAGTCATTCAGAGAACCCAAGCTCAAACTAGGGTCTGACTGTGTAAGGTATATAAAACACAAATGTACTTCTAAACTAAAAGCGATTGGAACCCAGAACAGTTAACCATAATATTTATAGCTGATCGCGCGCAATTGCCTTATCCTTGAGCCGATCTTTGATGACGACTTCCGGTATTTTTCTGACTCCGGCTCATTTTTAGGTGCTGGTAATTACCCGGACGTTTTCATTTGGTAGTTTGCTAAACTACTCTTTGATGGGAAAGCTGCAATATTAATACTGTTCTACATGCTAGTTTAATTCTTCAAAAGCTATGTATTACTATCTCATTTGCAAGACAATATATAAAGTATACTGCTTACAGCTCAGTTTAGTACATTCACAGGAATACGTAAGCCTACCTAATAAAATCGACTAGTTAAAATAAAGTCAGTCATTGTTGAAAATGCTAAGCAAGTGACTGGGTACTAGGACTATTACAACTGGTGTCCATGAACCTATATCCTTGTGCGAGTAATGATATGATTCCTGCTTTAGTTCAAGAAAATATGACCATGAATGACCCGTGGTTTATAGTTAGATTCACATTGTTTACTTTATATTAGCAGGCAATAGAAAAACATTGGGGAAGCATTTAGCTAAAGGAAACGGGAAACTAGCGCGTTTGCCCTTATTGCCTGACATTCTCGTATTATGTTCCGAAAAACTCTGTGCCAAATCCAAACATTTATGCAATAAGCTTGCCTACTCATATGTATACTAAAGGCAATTAAATACAAAGATCTAGGAACAGCACTTGCATAATCAAAACAGAGCAAATAATTTGCCTGACGAAGTAAAACACTCGGTCTAAGGAATTTCCAATACTACTTACACCGATATTCGCGGTAGATGATTGTAAATATCTTTTTGTTTTTCCCACTATTGACTCTTCCGACCATAGTCTAGATACTTTGGTGTTTGATCCGAGATTCAGAAAAGTAATTATACTTGAAAGGTTGATATTAACATGTAACTATTGCACCTCATTACACCAAATCTTTTGCCTAAATGAAACAAGGTTCACGGTTCGCGTCATTGTTTAACATTAAAATGCGGAGCCACTTAACATCTCTTACGCACGCTTATCCAGTATCACAGATAGTGCAGGTAAAACTTTAGTTAACAAGACCATTTTTGCCTTGTAAGCGCAAGCATTCTAAAGCGACTGCATTTGTTGTGTAGAAGCAGACGACTGGCAAAATGCACTCAACGCGCCCTTTTCTAACATACTGATGAAAGCTACGGAGCATCCCTAAAATCATATATGAAACTGGATAGATTTATTATCATGAGCAGTGTATGACTGTTCACTGGGGTCCAGCAGCATAATTAATCTGCGATGAATAGAAACACTGAACGAGGAATTTATAAGCGTGAAAACGTTGCTAGAAGTTTTACGTCGGATAGCGTGGTATTTTGGAAGGTAGTATTTAACGTACGTTGCGCGGTAGTCCTGCAGTCTGCGTTGTTTCACAGCAACCACATGTTATACTGAATAAGTCCAGGGTATGTTACAGGCGTAGGATGGAGACATAATAATAAATAACAACGTGTACGTGAACGAACTAATCATCCAACCGTCTTTTAAATATTGTTAGTGTTCGCTCCAGAAAGTGCATTCAACGAGTTGCATATGCTAATGGAATAGGGAATTCTGCGGCCATGCATATGTCCATACGGTAGTGGAATATTCAATGAGTGCCGTTTTAGTTTATATTGCTGCTGAGCTGCGGTGATGATTCGGTACAATAAGGTGGGTAGTGCCAAAACCATAGGCCATTATCAGTAGTCTCGTAAATTGCACTACCGTCTGCTGATTACCCGAATCGTCTCCGCCTCTGCGCGTAGGGGAGATTGTGCATTCCATTGACGTATTTGGATGCCTGGCGTTCAAGCGGCTTCAGTGCAGTTTGGGCCATTATATTCACGGCTGCCAGGCATTAGTTTGGCATTCGGACCTGCACACTAGGTGCCTGACGGTTAAAGGTTGTCTATTTCTTGCAAGGCCTATCACAACAAATTGATGTGTTGGTTACCATGTTTGATGTCGCGTACGGTTTGCTTAAAACAACCCAGATCATCCTGAAACAGTGCAACTAGATCACGTTCGAGAAAAAAATGCTGATGCACATGCGTTTCGTAGCTGTAGTTGCAAATTATTGGTTGCCTTATGAGGTGTAACTAGCGTTTACTCGTGTTAAAATGCATTGGGCTTTAAATGGCTTCTAATCTACCATGTCTTTTTCACCCTGATGAAGATGCCAATTCGACGTGTTAGTGAATCATGCAAAAAGCCTGCGGGAATGTTCGAGCTCGATCATTCATAAACATTAAAACAAAAGTATAGTTCCAAATAGTCCCTGAGGCACACGGTTCTAGACTTGCATGTCGACAGGTAATAAGTGCAGAACACTGACCACTAATTACTGTTTTATTATAAAGTTGGAAACCCAGTTGGTTTAAACAAAACCTGTGATACCTTACAATAAGCCTTCCATTATTGCAGCTGCTAGGGTTAAACCACAAGCTAAACTCGCCGTCATTCGCTGCTCTTTGCAAGACTCAACAATTAATACTGGGTGAGCTCAGAACCATTTTCGAAATATTCGTGGGATTATAGTAGTAGCGAGGTACTAACAACAAGAAATTCTGGTTAGCCGCAAGCAACTAGTGGATATATGCGTAAACTACCCATGAAATGACAGAGCTATCTAACAGTTTCTTGCTTACGTATTATGTCTACATAATAGTAGCTAAAATATAAAGTACTGCGTTATTCAACAGACTCATTGCAGTTAGGTTCAATGGGATATTTACGGACGGATGTAAAAGGGGATCAGAAGGTTTTGCATGCAGGACAAATCGTCAGCTTATTCACAATTTCTGTTAGTGCTAACAAAGTTGCATTTTTAAGTCCAGAAGTAAGGAATTTAAAAACAAAAGTCACGATTTTATTTCGTCTTACGCTCTCAGTCAATATGAGCCAATACAATTTTTATACCGTTTTGATTTACTTCTTAATAATCCTTAAAATACACCTTCTCTGCCACGTTGAAAAGGCACACCTCTCGGTTTTTCGCATTCAGTTGTATCATAAGTTTCTTCTGCACTTCCCAAACGGTTGCGTTTTTTGCTTGTACTCTAACATCAGCTATTCCATAGCTGGAAACTATTTTTTCGACTTTGCAGTTCGTCATAATATTGGGCGCTCGAGAAATGATCTGGGTGAAGCAACAGAAATGAATGTGATATAAGGCTTATTCTTAGTTATTATTAGCTAAGTTAATGATTTTTATTTGCAAGTACTCTAAGTGGTAGGTTAGCAATTAACTTACACTTAAAAATGCAAGTTTGACGTGGAAACTACATACCGTTTGGCAAGCCGTCCAATTTAACAAAACACCTTGCGGTGTTGTAGGAATTATTGACGTAGAAAATGTCACCGTAAATTCTGGAGCAATAGAACAGAGGTGATAAACATGCTTAGCAAATCGTCAATTAATTGAGCAAACTACAAACATCTTTAATTTAGCTACAACAAATTAAACAGTAAGTTACTTTACGTATGCTAATGTTAACTTTGAGCGATTTAACATAAGTGGAATTAGCTTCGCTGATAACTTCTAAATGGTTTACCTAGTAAAGCAGGTTCTAGCTTCACTCACCGAAGTCCACTGCTTTTGCGACTGCTTCAGATGGCACTGAATTGAAACCGTGCAAGTTGTAGTTAATGAACCTCAGTGACAAGTGTACACTAAATGGTCGCCAAAAGATGCATGAGTTTTTCAAAACTCCCATGTGATTCTACTTCATCAAGTCAAAAACAGTGCCAGTCTTACTAGACCTTCTCTTTTGTCTTCGTTTGGTTGTGTGTGTGAAATAGCAAAACAGTCTGATTTCGCTAGGAGGCGCTTTTAACAAACTACGTAAGGTGTTGAGACCGAAGATGTAACAAACGAATGTATACCAGCGTGTAAAACCATAGGTTGTTATTTTAGTTTTTTACACATATTTGCAGAGCTTAATTAGTATATACAATTCAGAAGGTATATGTAGAACCGGCCATATAAAAGCGCTTCAATAGCTGTTACCTGCAATCATAAAATAGCGATGTTTTCACGGAGTATATTATAAATCCCATAAATACACAGCGTTATGTTTAACAGGCCTGTGAATTTAAATTTTAGGACAGACTGTATTCAGGATATGTATAGCAAGCAAACACATACCCTGTTATGCCTAATTAATGCGGTGCAGTACAACCACAAAGCTGCATCCTACATCATCACAAATTATGCACTTAAACGATTGCAAAAATTACAGTGTTAACTTTGCTATCTGGCTGCATCTAGAGCGCCGGATAACACCTATAATGAGCGAAAGAGCCACATCTATTTTAAACAATATATGATGGCAAGGAATTATTTTTAAAAATGCACTCAGTAAAACTTCCCGTAAATGCGCAAGGTGGGGTTTATTGTATGGTATCCACACACCGCATTATGTTTTAAATGTCATTTGGCTAAATATAAACAGCCTGCTCTCACCTTTATTTTGATGCCTGCTGGTTCGCTGGTTGTTTCAGGCGCAAAATAAACCTGCTTAGTAAATCAACAATTTTCATTACGGAAGAGCATATATGGAAGTAAGGTACTTTATCTACGCTATTATTGCAGACCTCATCTTATCAATGGAAAGTTGCTGCTACACAATTTTCCTCGGTAACTGCTTATTCACAATAAGCGCGAGAGAAAAAAATAAATTAAACCGTGCTCTCCGCCACCCTAGATTATTAAGCACCATAATTTGCAATGCAAATTCATAACGTTTGTATAACGTAAACGCGAAAATATGACCAAAATCATATAAATTACGCGGACAATTACACCCATTGCTTGCATATGTAATAGGCTACCATGAAAAGCGGATTATTTTTTAGACAAACATAATTAACAGAAGTACACAAATGCGCATAGAAAGTTCCTTTACATAAATCTCATTAGGCATTCAAATTTTTAGAGCAATATTAAAAATTTTGTTGGCTATTGATTCCCAGGTCAAGTTAGAAAGAACCATGAAATCTTTACAATCTATTTGATCGGCATTGTTGTTTAACAACAGTCGCTATATTTTATTAAAGTATACTTCCGCATAGTATATATGACAATGATGGTTTCATTTATCTGAGTCTGGTGTACCACTTCAATAATCGTGAAACTAACGGACTATTAAAGTCCTTACTTTTCGTAGGGTAGCTAGGTAGTGTTAGGCGGCCCTTTTACATTGGTGTCTGGTTATCCGTCTAAGATACCTTGTACTACAAATGTATGTGCTTTCAAATCTTATGAAATATTCGTCCCGACCAAAAGCCAATCCACCGATTATCTTAATCGAGGCTAGTTGACCACAGCCGAGGCAATCGCAATCAGAGTTTTTATACTAGAACGTTGCAAACAACAAACGGTGATTTAAACTTTGATACTACCTAGGTGATGAAAACAACCCGGTTCGAATTCCTCCCCTCAAACAAGACAAGCGACTAGCCTTTGTCACCTCAGTTCTGTCTGCCCTCCCGTACCGTGTATGATTTGTCCAAGCGATCTACTTCGATTGAATAAAAGCTGCTCGATAGCAAGCCATGGCAAACCAATAGGTCCAGTAAATTTCGTGGTTTCTCGTAATTTCAAAGTGAGTCTTCTGTAAGCAATCGGTTTTTATTCTGCTCCTTAATGTTAGTTGACTGATAAGATTGCTCGGAAGTATGATCGTTGCGCAAAGTTGATAATCTTATTTCATGTTAAATATTAGAGGAAATTTACATATGCTCTAATCTCAGTAAGAGATATCGTAGGTAAATAGCTGCAGTTTTTATGCAGCTTCCGGGTCAGGTATTGCTTGACGTACTCGGAGAAAAGCTTGAATGCCTTTCGTTCTATCGTAGTCCATGACCATTACGCAATGTTAGATAATGCTTGCTAGTAAAACAGAGTGCGATTAAGTAGGGGTTTAATGCTGACAGAGGGGAACATATCCCTGCCATTTGAACTGCTTATGCTGCTTTTGTGAGCAATTAAAAACTTACTCATAAAAAACTTTCAACTCATGTACATATTTAATGAAGTTGTATACGGATACAAATGCATAGGTTTGTTGAATAGTTATTTGGATTTACCGAGAAGATAAGCACATCCGCATCTATAAATATCAATGATGTTAGCTATTTTCACAAATATTTAGATATGCTGTTTTGGAAAACACGCACTGCTCCCAATTCTTTACCTACATTACCAAGTAAACAAATGCAAACGTTTGCTTTTGTCCAAAGTAAGTAAACCGTACGGCTTATTGACAAATTTTGGAGATCCGTTATTTTTGTGTTAGTTTAGGTTTTTATTCAATGTTAGATGCAACCTCAGCAAAAGAATTAAAAGCATTGTAAAATCCGTTGTGCTGACTAAAGCTCAGGAATACAATTTTGATAAATATTGTACATGCATACCATAGGAAGCTCTCTCTTGTCGTATTTGTACAGGAAAGTTGCAAGTGTACCCACGCCACTTCAACCTGTCGGCTAGCCGTAGGGGCAGTTCTTCCATCGTATAGTTTTCTTTCCAGAGCACTGGCATTAATAAATTGATCTTCGCTATGAAGTCCGTACGATTTACAACTGCCTCAAGGAATTCCACACGGCATTTCGTCATATGCTGCAATAAATGCAAGTTAACAATTAGGTCAATCGATTGAAATCCATCAGGTCAATGTAAGCATTTGTATTCAGACATACAAGTGTAAGTGATTGACAATTTAGTCCATGCATAGTTAGGAGGTAGCAATTTATTTACTTATGATAACGAGATTTTGGTTAAATACGTCATTAACTTCCCAAGCGAAACACTTACTTGCAAATTTGGATCAACTGTCTACGTAGATAAAGGTATAAAGCAGAGAATATTCTGGATACAATCAGTTAATGTCCGCTTTGCACAGGAACATGGTGTAAACTGATAGTAGAAAGCGGGTGTTGTCCAGCAGCGCACGCTCTAATCCATGGCGCCTTCTGATGTTGTTTTATCTAAGCAGAGGAAGTTAGCAGGCAACCATCCAGTGACCCTCGTGACATTAGTCCTTACCTCTAACCTTGAGCCACTAAGTCACGAAAGGCAAAACCTTGCACAACGGGTAATGGCTGGTTGGATTATCAATATTTGAAAGCCGCGCTATGTATGTGGCTTGCGACGTGCAATCTAAAGTTGACCGCCATTTCCAGTGACGTGAACCTTGGTCATTTTTGTAGTAGGACCGTAGCTGTTGATGCAGAAGGAAACTGGGTGTTAGCTGCCCAAAGACACTGCACCACATGGCGGGTGTTGAAATATTTTCTCTTCTCAGCTGGTGATAACAGGCATCAAACTTTAAACTATTATGCTGTTAGACGTGTTCGCTACCACTTAGCCACCGGGTCAAGACGTGCTACGCTTGGAACAACGGTTACTGATAACTTGGTGTCGGTTCTTGAGGTACACTCCGTTCGGTGGAATAGCGACGGCCTATCTGAATGTAAATAAGTTATTCCTTTTTTATGCTTAAGGCAAATTACCTACCAAGTGAGCATAAACAGAACTCAAAAATCCTTTATCCAAAATGTGTGCTATTTATTGCTTGAACATAAGCAGTCTACATCAACCATACTTTTATCCATTGATCATCTGCTGACACATCGCCAATACTTGCATTTTAAGAGCTTGACCACAGACTGAAATAAAGCTGCTCAACAGCTGTTGAGATATTTTTAAGAAAATCTTAAAGGAGAACCACTTTTCACATTCTCTACTAAGTGGCCAGGAGCCACAATATTTAGAAAGCCTTAGCTATTGTTTTATTTTATGTGCAAAATAGTCGTTGCGTCTAAACTCTGGTATTCCATATTAAAAGCGCAGCCGCTTAATATGACATATAAACAATATATTTGACAAACGCTTCGTCACTCTGTGCAAAATTTCTACTTTAGAGTCCTTGTGAATTTCAAACAACTTGGCTAGTGAGCCGTCATGAAAGATAACGTGCATCCGTCCACCCAAATTTCAAATTTATCGACCTTATTGCTTGTGTATGAACCATGGAAAACCGTATATCTAATCTATGAGGAAAGCTTGCTGAAAGAAGTAAACAAATCGCTTTTGCTCCATAGAGAGCAAAACTAAATTGTGAGAGATAACATCCCACATTTCCGGTCAATTCCGATCATCCAGGCTTCACTAGCCGTGTTCTGTTAGTAGGTAAATAAGTCGACGCTACTTGGGAAACGACAGCTTGATCCAACAGTTACATCCAATTGTAGTCAATGGTAGTCAATTACTTGACAAGTATAGAAAATCGTGTTGCGAATTCGCGCGGAACATCATCTAATATTTTTGGCTTCTAAAGTTTATTCCCTCAATAGTAGACACTTTAAATTTCACTAACACTTAAAATTTATAGCTTGATATAAACTAAGTTGCAGTAGATGAGTCAATTACATTCATTCGCCAAAATATGTCTCAACCTAATGGTTACATTGGTCCGTTAGTGTATTCAATCAAACGTAGACTTACCCTTGTAAAAAGCTTTGTGCAGACGTCGGTTGATCTCCGTTCGGCTATCATAATTGTGTCCACATCTTAAAAGCAAAAAGAAATGGTCACATACCATATGGAATAATCTTGCGCTAACTTAATAAACACTTAATTGAATGTGCAACTGATGGTTAATTTCTCAATTTATTAAGCGACAAACTAGTTGAACTATTCGTAACATTCTTCACATCCGCAACTGAATGAGTTCTGTAGTACATCCGAAATCTTTACATAGGTTTATTGAAAGCAATCGGTAAAACTGGACAACTGGTAAACTGCAACTCACATAGCACTTGGTCATTAATCGCTGTTAGAGGAATTGAACGGTACGTAAATTTAATCGCTAAGCAGTTACTAGTTTTCAAAAACGGGCATAATTTCCACTTGTAGCTGTCTGTCGTATTGAACTGATGCGCAAGGATAAGGTGCACGTTCAGTTGTTTAGCAGTTGTTTGCATACCGGAGTGGCTAGGGACCATCGGTTAAGGCCCGAGTGACACGAGAGTCTATTTGAACTATTCGTTGTGTGGATGCATGGTGCCTCAAAACCTCAAGGTAGTCGCTATGCACACTAAGAGAAACTTTAATTGACGGGAACACGGAATGTAACAGAACTAGCTGCAAACCGAATGTTTCCCGCCCAAACTCAGCGCAAAAATAATGCGTTTTTAACTCAGCTGATGCTATCAGGCTTCGAACCTGAATTTTTACTACTTTAGCTACCTGTTAAAGAGTACAGTTTATCTGGTTATAACCTTTATGCATAAACAGAAGTAGCAAACATATTTCATTTTATTTTGTTGTAAAACACGAAACAAAGTGGCTTAATTTAAAGCAAATACTTACACAAATGCTCTGGCCAATACATTCCAACGACTTGAATATTTATTCTTTTCCAATCATAAGCGATATTTCTAATAAGGCGCGCTGGACCACTCCAGTTTTCAGGAAATTCCCAAGTAACATTGTGCTTGGTTTGATAACGAGTAATGCAAGTATATGCATTTGTCTCGTCGGTTACTGGTATGCAGTTTGTGCTCGTCTTGGCTCCATTCCTTTTGGCGACCTGGTCGAACTGGATCCCAAGTCGGATATCAGGCAGTAGGATAGCAGTAGATCCATATTGGTCAACCGGCATGCCGTGAGGGAAAACAATTTTGAAACACGCAAAGTATTAAATATGTAACTGGCGCAACGCATGAATCAGTGAGTAACGATCAGTCAAAACAAAAGTTTCCTAGGTTTCTACGTTACATAAGCTCGGGCATAAAATTCGGATATTGCAAACATCTAAAGCATATGTAGTGTTGACCCCTTTGTTTAAAGTAAAGTCAACGAATTCGGCACGGCTCTATGGTCATTTGTTGTACAGATTCAGGATGAGCATTAATGTTTTGCAAAGCTGCACTCACAAGATTCTGAACGGTTGCCGCGGGAGGCAATGCAGTCACAATTTTCAGTTCAAATTCTGTATAGTTAAAGTGAATATAAGCGGAAACAAAACCAAAGTATTTACTACATGCAGTTTGCAGTTAGACAGTTTGAAGTGTAGATGAGCCCCTTTATCTTCATACAAGCCAACGCAATGAATTCATTTGGTGATCCACATCAAGCCGCGACTTGAATTTACAATGCCAGTTACCGAATTGATAAGCGATAAAATAAGGTGTTGCATGCTTCGTTGCTACATGGTTCTGAGAGCAATATTTTCGGTGACAAAAACAAAACAATGGAAATAAAATTTAGATTGCTCATCGTTTGGCTAAACATATGACTCTCAAACCAGCTTTTTGGATGTACATTGTCCAGCGTGAATTAAATACACTTACTTTCAAATGTCCGCTGGAAACATTCTGATATATTTGCTCGTTAGACTACTGTGAAATATTTGGCCTAGATTATTGGATATTTATCTTATCTTCATGCCAAAGAAAACACTTTCAAATACCTAGAAGACTACACAAACGTTCAGTTAAAAGTCAATGGGACTAAGAAAACTGGATACCTGGTGAGTTTGTTTTATAAATCTATTGGATGTGTTACTGACACTATGCCAAAAGTACCCTAGGAACCAAATTGACAAGCAGCTGTGATTTGTTTTGTGAAAACATATCTCTAAGCACACTCAGTACCTGCTCACGTAGATGTTGTGCAGATAGTGCTGAAGCAATTCCTACCGTGGCAGGCAGACAAGGTGCTTTTACTGAAGTATGCAGCATTTGCATAATAGGCCTTTGTATTGGTAACAATGAAATAGGACGCATTTTTCACTTACCATACTGCCCTTGCTTGACGCTACTTACTACAGGTAAAAATGGTTAATTAAGGAATGTCAATGAGCGCCAAGTGTACTCACGTTTACAACAACAGAATACGTGTCGAAACTGCATTTTACATAAATATGCATTTTATTATTTCTATTCTATTAAACGGTTTCCACAGCATTTCATAATGTCTGCCCTGGAAATGCGATCTGCTAGGTGCATTTATTTTACCTAGACGACGAGGTGCGAAATATTGAAGATAAAGTATCACATTGTTTTATATTTTCAACTCACGTGCTCGAAACTTGGATTCTGATATCGAAGGAATCGCTCTTGCTGTACCAATCTGTAGCAGCTGTCCGTTTACTGTTGTGGAATCGTTTACTGTACACACGCAGGTTAACTCTTCCGTTCGCGAATCGTAAAACCACCTTTTTAGGCTGCAACTTTTATTCGAAGTGGTATCCAAAAATGAACGCTGTATGATGCAAGGGTACAAAAAGGAAAATGACATTTTCCTACTTATACAGTACACCTGTAACTCAGTGTGTAAATGAAAGGTTGATGCGTTTACCGGGCTGGGCAATTTTGCGGCAGACGTTTCAATGTCAATCTAGCAATATTTTCAGTGCGGCCATTACATTCTCATTCGCAGAGCCTCTTAAACACCCGCCATATATAGGAGGCAATCAGTATTCACTTGTATCTGACATCGGCTTATGAGGCTCTGCGATTTAGACCATAATGGCCGCACTGAGGATGTTGCCTATCTTGGCAATGAAACGTCTGCAACAAAATTGCCCAACCCGGAGTAAACATAAACCCTTACACATTTTCCTAATGTCAGATAGAAAGCGAAGATGTCACGATATAGCAGGCATGTATACAGTGGGATTATTAAGGTTTATAGATTACTGAAGTCGAACTAACGAACTCCGAAAATTATTAACAATGCTCTTAACAGTGCACATGCATTTAAATCACTGCGGAACAGAAGGGGATGGCAAATCATCATATACTACACAGAGTATTGTAAATACTAACTTGCATTCCGCAGTATGTTGGCATATTTATTCCGAAGGGAGTTTTCACGTCGATTATTTTCAGCAGGTTGTTCCCTGCCACCGTAACTGACAAAAGACCTTGAGAGATGGATGATATAT